TGAGAGAGAGAGAGAGAATGTTAATAATTATATTACATGTAATAACTATATCGTTGTCCATTAGAGTGACACCACTGTTGGGTTATTTACCACAAGAACTGATGGGCACCTCGTGTTACGACTACTGCCATCCCGACGACGTGTTGACACTCGCTGAGAGCCATCGCACGGGTATGTCATTCACATAACACACACATAAGCAATAACTGTATGACTGAAATGTGGTTATAATGTTGTCGTTAAATATACTCAGCGTTGCATCAAACGGATCGCACGAAGAACTCATTGCCGTATCGGTTCCGCACCAAACTCGGCACTTACCTCTATCTGACCACTCTATGGAAGATATTCAAGAATCCGTGGACTCGTGAGTTCGAGTATATGGTAGCCGTCAACGAGAATGTGGCCACACCTGACCCGCCGGCCAATCATCACCACCACAACCATCGCAGTCATCACCGCTGCCCACCGGCGCCCCAACAGACAATGCCCGCCACCGTTGCGCGCCATAAGACCGGTGGTGGCCATCGGCTGGAAGTGTCCGACAACAGCGCCAGACATCACAATCACCACAAACGTCACACACACTCGTCGTCTCAATCGTCAGATGAGGGACTCATCACATCACAGTCCTCTCCGTCTACTATCAACTCTATGTCTTCGTCGGCCACTACCGGAACCGGTGGTCAGTCGTCGGACAAGTCATCGTCGGATATCCCGCGAACGAGTCCTCTGTCGGCCAACTCATCGATTGTGAAAAGATTTATCGCTAATCGTATCAAACACTCAAAGATCGGCCAACAGATCGCCGAAGAGGTGTTGGAGGCCCAGCGCAGGGCCGACGAGTTTAGCTCCTCGTCCTCCCAGTCTTCATCCAATAGCCCGCCCTCTAGTCTCGACACCGGGAGTAGCGGTGGGGGCGGAGGCGGTGGTGTTGTCCGCAATAACGGATCCATTAGCTCTTCGTCGGCCATCGGTTCTCTTACGAGCAGCTCTCAGTCGGTATCGTCGG